CTTTTTTTTTTTTTTTTTTTTTTTTTTTTTTTTTTTTTTTTTTTTTTAAATATTTAAAGAACTTATTAGATGCGCGTTTTTAACTTAACTCAATCCTCTTAGTCTCGTACAAATCAATTAATGAATAATCATCGTCGTTCTAACTATCTACCTTTTACCAAACGAAAATCCCGAGAAATTCCAATCTGGCATTAAGCTCTATTTCTTAGAGATTGATTAAAATTAGAACGACACGTGGGTATAAAAAGGCGTGTATTCATTTCCGTTCCCATAACTATTTGGAAAAATTTATAAGGCATGCAACCGAGAGACACGTTATCTCACTTTCTCATATGTTATATGTTACTTTTGTTGTTTTATTTCTTTTTCGATTATTATTTTATAACAATCCTACGTACACGGATCTGTATATATGTATATTTATTATTTTATTGAGGGGGGGTTTTGTTTTTTTTTTAACTCGATTGATCGATCTTTTCAATTGTGCATACCGCAACGTTCAATCGATGAAAATGATCTAAGGGGTATTACATAGTATAATTTTAATATACATATATATATATATATATACGTACGTATGAGAAGTGAGCAATACGAATAACTTTCTCCCTCGGCATTAGATACTATTTTTAATATCAAACGTTTATTGCAAGTTCCCTTTTCGATGGATGTTAAATAATTGATTATCTCATTCACTGCTTTTAGGAGAACATCGCGGAGGCGGTACAACCGGAAACGCCGATAGCACGGACGATCCTTCCTCTAGAGAAGAAATGTCCGAAATGTATGTTTTCACATTTATCCTTACAAAGAGAATGAAAGAAATTGGCAGACGGCAGTTCTTCTTTTTTTTTTCTTTTATTTTTTTCTTTTTCTTTTTCTTTTTTTTTTCATTTTTTTCTTCTCTTCTTTTTTTTTTCGAGACGGCACTTTTTTTACGTACAAGATTTCCTCGAAATACGATCGATGTTTTTCTCTTGATATACATAATGTATCGTTTGAACATTGAACCAATCATGATTTTGATTTTTCATTTCTCTAATAATATAATCTAGCTCTCTGCAAAAATTTCTTTTACATTCCTTCTAAATGCAAATTGTTTCTAATCTCGTTTCATCTTCATTCGTAAATTCGACGCATTCTTCTTCCTTTTTTTTCCTCTTTTCATTTCTTTCTTTCTTTCCTCTTGTTTTATCATTTTATCTTTTTTTTTTCTTTTTTTTTTTTTATCCGAACGCTTTTTCCATTATATCAGCCATTATTATTAAGAAAAAGAAAAGAGTTTCTCAAATGTTGTTAATTTTTTGCTTTTTCTATTTTTTTTCTTTTTCTTTCTTTTTTTTTTGTTTTTTCTTTATATATATATATATATGTACATATATATTATTATACTTAGGATGCAGCAAAATATTTCCAGTAAGCCAAAGACGTCGAACATAAACAGATCTGAGAGTTACAAGGAACGGATACATCATAAGGTGAGAGACAACAAATATTTTTATTTATAAATCTAATAGTAATAAAAATTAAAGTTTTGAAAATAAAATTATTTATAAGTCTAATAGTAAAAAACCTAATCGATAGATCCCCATTATTATATCTATGAGAATGTAAGGAATAACGTCGATCGTTATAATTTATAATAAAATTTCTGTATTCTTACAGTCGATCGAACTATAAATTACAGTGAATTTTTATTTATTTATTTTACTTGAGTCAATAAGTAATGTTGAAATTTTTTGATAATTCATATTTAAATAAATAATTTTTGTATTGAAAGGGAGGAAAAAAAGAAAGGAAAAAAGAATGTTTGAATATCTTTTATGTATTCAAATAAATTACTTTATATATGTAGTCCTTTTTTGTTAGATAAAAATAAAAGAAAGTATTTTGGTATTGTTTCGCGAAAAAAAAAAAAATATTCACCATTTTATATCTAAATAACACTAGACTTTTAAATTAATATTTTATATTCAAATAAATGACAACAAAGAGTATATCGTTTATTTAAACACTTCGTATCATTAGATACATCTACGATAAATAATTAATGAATAAACAAAACGATATCAATAAAAAAAAAAAAAAAAACCAATGCGTTTACATTTGCATCGTAAAAAGAAAACGAGGAAACATTGTTAATAAGAGAAAGAAAAATTCATTTTGAGAATTTTAAACGATAATATCTGAAAAGTGAAAACATATTTATACTTTCAACAAGTGGTTTTTCCCTTCCCCTCGTCACCCCTTCCCTACCTTTTTACAATGACAAATTTACAAATTTATTTTATCGTTCTAATTGAAAATACAAAAATGTATATAATAATTCATTGTTCGTATTTGTTACAGCGACAATTACGAGAAAAACGAAAGACCAGTGATCCAAATCTCTCCAAAACAAAGTGAGTTACAATTATATCGTAAATTTTTATTCAATTAATTTCTCGCTTATATTGATAATCGAAAGTCCGACAAAATTACAAGGAAAATAGAATCAAAAAGAAAAACTCTAAGTGGGCGGTTAGGTAATAAAATTAACTTGTCGCTACGGTTGGATCATTAAATTTCTAATTTAATTAGGCCGTTCAGAATGAATTTCTCATTTTAATTCTAATTCTACGAATGAAAGAAAATATATATACAGGAGAGTACGTTTTTCGTTTACCACGAAATCGATGATAGAATTACTCACGACGTAGTTTTTAAAGAAGAAGAATAAGAAGAAGAAGAAGAAGAAGAAATACATTTTCAAACTGACGTGTAACTGACAAACTATTTCTCAAAGTACATCGACCATTCTGTCAAACTGTCACCGATGTTGGTTCATTACGAAATTGTACAATTGCCAGAATGAACCTACACTACGAATATCGGTACTATTTCGAACAAAACCTTGAGAGAGGTAGAAGAGCGAGAGAGAGAGAGAGAGAGAGAGAGAGAGAGAGAGAGAGAGAGAGAAAGAGATGCTAATTTTTTTCTTTTCTTTTTTCACAAAGACAACATCGCGTAGAGAAATCGTCATAATGCATACCGTTGAAATAGATATGAAAATCTTTTTCGTGGTAAATAAATAAATAAAAGAAAAGAACAAAAAGAAAAAAGAAAGAAAGAAAAAAAATTATACGAGAGATATGAACATTAATCATATTTATTTCTTAAATAATTCCATTCGATTAACTCGCTGAAATATAATACATATTTAAAACCTACGAATAAAAATCAGCAAATATAAAAGGAAGATCTCTAGTTCTAACTCTCTCTCTCTCTCCCTCTCTCTGTTTTTCTCTCTATCTCTCTCTTTCTCTCTCTCTCTCTCTCTCTCTGTCTTTCTCCTCCTAGTATTTATACGACCGAGCTAAAGAATTTCGATGCAACGCGAATCAATTCCAATTTCAACGAAGGACACTTCGCATCCGTTTATTTCATGAATTCAAATTAAAACGGGACTTCAATCATCCCTGAAGGGCTCCTAAACATGCGAATGATTCTCTACGTGCAACCCAACACAACATATATACGCATATAAATACATTATATATATATATATATATATACACACGTACATACGTATACAAGTTGTGCATAAAAATTTACACGTATAAAAAAATATTACAAATTACAACCATTGATTTCAATTACAAGATCTCTCTCTCTCTCTCCCCCTATGCAGAATCGTTCGCAACAATAAAAAGTTTATCCTATAATATCATTATTATCTTCTTTGTCGTCATCATTATCATCATCATCATCATCATGATCATCATCATCATCATCATCATCATCATCATTATCATCATCATCATCATCATCATCATCATCATTATTATCATCATCGTGAAAACTACTGCGTCGTTTTAATGTACAACGATCGGTCGGACTAGAACTCGTTTCTAGCATCTACGATGCATCATCGTCATGTGCCATCTTTCTTGTCTTGATCCCCACTACCACCATCTCGCATCACCCCTCTTCACGTCACCCCTTACCCTTCATCTTCTTCATTCCCCGTCACTGTAAACGTAACTCATGAAACGATCCTTCGAATTTTTGGCAAAATTCCGTTCTCATCTTTCTCTCTCTCTCTCTCTCTCTCTCTCTCTCTCTCTCTCTTACTACCCCCTCTATCTCCCTCCCGCTCTCTCTGTTTCTCTCTTTCATCATTTTATCTCTTTCTCTCTCCCTCCACCCTCTATCTCCCTCTGCTCCTTTCTCTCACTATTTCTCTCTTCCATCATTTTATTTCTCCCTCCCTCTCTTTTTCTATCTTTCTCTTTTCTTTCTCCCTCTCTCCATCTTTATCTTTCTCTCGCTCTTTCATCATTTCTCCCTCTCTCTCTCTCTCTCTCTCTCTTTCTCTTTCTCCATTTCTTTTTCTCTCTTTCTCTCTATAATCGGCGCGTGTTTCGAAGGATGGTAGCACACGTGCGAAGTACGCAGACTCGAGAACGACTCTTCTCTTTTACCCTCTCTCCTCTTTCTCTCTGGGTTCCTCATTTCGTAAAGGTGTGTATGGATAGTCAGGAGGCCTTCAGTCTGACGTTAAACGTTCAATTCCACGGATGGCCGTTGCGTCGCTTCGACGGTACGAAACGCCCACGCGACTCTAACCATAGTATTTCTTTCTCTCTCTTACTCTCCCTTTTTCTCTATCTTTCTCTCTCTCTCCCTTCCTCTTTCTCTCTCTCTCTCTCTCTCTCTCTCTCTCTCTCTCTCTCTCTCTCTCTCTCTCTCTTTCTCTGTCTCTCTTTCTCTCTTCTTCTCTTTGACCCACCCGAAAGGCGCATCAATTTCAATTACGCCGACCGACGTCAAGCTTCGATTATCCGCACTTCTTTTTTTCTTTTTTTTCTATTTTTTCTTTGTCCATTTTTTTTCTCTCTTCAATTTTTTTGTTTTTGTTTTGTTCACTTTTTTTCCTCTCTATTTGGCTTCCCTTTTCGTTCGTCTATCTTTTTATTCTATTTTTTTTCTTTTTTTATTTCATTTAATTTCTTATTATA